GAAGACGTGGTAGGGCCCCCAGCAGAGCGCGAAGGCCGCCACGACGGCCGCCACCAGGCGCACGAAGCGGCCCGGCTGCCGACGGCCGCGGTGGCGCAGCTGCAGGCTCACGGCCGCGTGGCTCGAGGCGATGATGGCCAGCGGCACCGCGAAGGCCAGCAGGAACTTGCTGACGGCCAGGGCCGCCTGGCGCGAGTGGCACGTGGCGTCGTGGTCCGGCCCCGGGCTCAGGAGCAGCACGTTGTAGTAGCACATGATGCGCCCGTCCAGCCGCGGGATGGTGTCCCGGAACACGAAATAGGGCACGGTGTTGAGCACCGCCAGGGCCCACAGCAGCAGGCACACTCTGTGGGCCGCGGCCACCGTGCGGTGATTCTGCGCCCACACCGGCCGCAGCACCTGCAGGCAGCGGTCCAGGCTGATGGCGCTGAGCAGGAAGCCGCTGGCGAACATGTTGAGGAAAAAGACGGACGAGTGCAGCTTGCAGAAGGTGGTGCCCAGCTCCCACGAGTGGCCCACAGCCAGGAAGTAGGTGAAGAAAGGCAGGGAGGCGGTGGCCAGCAGGTCGGACAGCGCCAGGTGCAGCACCCAGGTGGTGACCACCGTCTGGCGCATGCGGCAACCCACCACGAAGAGGATGATTCCGTTCTCCACCAGGCCCAGCAGCGAGGCCAGCCCGTGCAGCAGCACCGACGCGTGGTCCATGTAGCGGATGCTGGAGTTGCTGTGGCTCTGGAGGCGGCTCATCTGCTCCAGGATGGGGCAGAGCGGCTTCAGCGTGGCGTTGGCCAACATCGTGGGGCTCTGGGGTGGGGGAAAGGAGGCGCTGAGGTTGGCGGTGCAGAGGCGAACAGGAACCACGAGAGAGGCCCGGAGTGGGCACCTCGCCGGGAGATGCACAGGTGACCGACCAATGTGACAGCAGAGGCCGCTGGGGATCAGTGAGGTTGAGCAGAGGCAGTGAAGTGGGGGGACAACATCCCAGCTCCACCGCCTGCTCACATGCAACACTGGGTACCTCATTGAACCTTCCTGAGCCTGTTTCCTCCTCTGTAACATGGGTGTCATTCATAACAGTACCTAGCTCATGGGGTTATTGGGAAAAGCATTTAGAACAGAGCCTGCCACACAGCAAGTACTGTGTCACTGTCATTGTAATTATTATCAAGCAAATGATCTAAGATCCTGTGGAGAAATAAGAACAAGGTCAGGCCATGCAGGACTCCTTTTCCCGATCCCCAGAGCACTGGGGCTTAAACATGACCCCACAGATAGGACCAGAGGTTCAGCGGACCTGGGGGGTGGGGATGTGAATGAGGGGAGTCTATGCCCCGTCCCTTCCCACACATAGCACCCCCAGACCTTGCCTCTCTGCAGATCTCCAGGTGGCCCTTCTCTCCACAGTGGTGGCTGGTTGGGTATGTTGACCCGAAACAGTGGCCCCTCCTCTAATAGTTGAAAAGGAAGTGAGATAAGAGCAGGGCGAGAGCTGGGTGGGAAGAACTACCAGACTAGGCCTCTGGAGGGGACCCAGTGGGACCAAAAGATCTCCTTCCTGCCCAGGAGAGAGCCAACTCGAAACAGTGGCCCCTCCTCTAATAGTTGAAAAGGAAGTGAGATAAGAGCAGGGCAAGAGCTGGGTGGGAAGAACTACCAGACTGGGCCTCTGGAGGGGACCCAGTGGGACCAAAAGATCTCCTTCCTGCCCAGGAGAGAGCCAACTCTGCCTGGCCAGGGCACCCACCCTGTTCACCCGATCGCTCGCTCGCTCATGCACTCATCTGGCAGCTGCTTGTTGAGAACCTACTCAGGTGAGCAGTGGAGAGCCAGGCCCTGACAGACACAGATGCCCGGACGTGCATGCTGACAGCCTCATCGAGAACCCGAGGGACCCTCTGATGAAGCTGGCGAGATCAGTGAGGGCTGAGGAAATGGGGGTGGGAGGCTCCCAGCAGGAGGTGGGGACAGATAGCAGGAGATGGGAATGCAGGTTGTCCTGGGCACCCACAACACACAGGTCCTGTGGTCAGTCCTTTACATAGGACCTCTTTTTCTCATGGCTCTGGAAGAAAGTTTGTGTTAGTATTTCTCTCCATCCCGTTTTACAGATGAGGAAGCTGAGACTCAAGTGTTGAAATAACACCCAGAGCCACCCAAACAACACAAGAGCAACAGTTTAGCACTTAACCTGCACTCTTTCCTCTACCCCTGCTGTAAGCAAGAGATGATGGAGAAGGGAAGAAAGGCGGGCAGGGGGAGGCCGTGGCCTTCACTACTTGTCTTTCTAGGGGAGACACTGTTGGCCAGGATGAGAAAATCCACTCCCTCCCTGGGACCACGGTCCTTTGTAGGGTGGGGACCTGAGAGATCAAACTAGAATTTCTGTGGTAGATGAGCCTTTGGAGTTGGGGATCTGCAGGTAGGTGGGAGGGGAGCAGCTGGGCCTGTGCTCCTGAGAAGAGTCATACTTCCCAAGCTTTAGAGTTTGCAGAGCAGTTACACTCACTGGAACCCTATGAAACCCCATTTTTCAGAAGAAACTGAGGATCGGAGAAACACAGCAACTTACTTTTTTTTTCTCAGCTGCAGTAGTGGGGCTGGGATGCCACTCCCAGCAGACAGACAAGTGCCATCCCCTCTCTGCCCTGAAATATTCCCTTTAGTCCAGCTGCTGTTTGTCCCCAAGTCCCATGGGATGCTCAGAGAGCACAGTCCTGCTGCACCTTTGGAAACCATCTAGGTTGGTCCCCCTGGCTGCATAGAGACAGCCCCCAACCTCCTGGGACTCTCAGGGAGCCCAGCGGCTAGAGTTCTGCTTTGGTAGGGGGCTGGGGGCAGAGAGTGAAAGCTTTGGGAGTCTGAGACCTGAACTCACATCCCAGCTCCTCAGCTTCCTAGACGGGAGAACTTGGGCTGGTCACCCTAAATCTGCTGGTGGAATCTTCCTACTCAGATCGTTTGTGGATATTGAAAGAGATCATGAAATGGTTTACCACTGTGCCTGACATCTAGTTGATGCCTAAGAAAATTTAGTCCTTCCCTCCTCTTAGCATCAAGTCCCCTCCAATCTTTGGCAAACTCAACCCTCTGC